GGGTGGGTGGGGGTGGGTGGGTGTGGGTGGGTGTGGGTGTGGGTAGGGGTGGGTGTGGGTGGGTGGTGTGGGTCGGTGTGGGTGGCTGTGGGTGGCTGTGGGTGGGTGTGGGTGGGTGTGGGTGGGTGTGGGTGGGTGTGGGTGGGTGTGGGTGGGTGTGGGTGGGTGTGGGTGGGTGTGGATGGGTGTGGGTGGGTGTGGGTGGGGTGGCCCGGCGGCAGCGATAACGAGATCAAGCAGTAGGAGTAAAATAGAAACAACCACCCTAAAACTTGTGCTATGCCGGCACGGGGTGCTGTCCAGGTCGACAATGATTGTAACATATTGTATCTGTCGAACGCTTCGGCTGGACCATCTTGAGTCAAACCCTTTAGAAATCCAAGTATCCTCGGTCCACACTAAAAGCGACAACTAAAGATACAATCGAATTCCAGAAAATGCACCTCTTGCAAGCAAAACAAGACCGTATGTCGTCGCTCTTGAGGAGCGAAAGCGGCAAAGCTCACGATAACTCAAGAACATTTAGCTTGAACCCTGAACGCTTGAACCCTAGAGGACCTGGAATGCACGACTGATGCCCATTGCAGCAAGGCTTCCGTCCAAAATCTGCTCTACACTCCAGTTTTCCGTTTTCAGGTGGTAAGGGTTGAGCGTTATTGTAAGGGCTACTGTAATGGTGTATGCATACGTTCGCGCTTCTGCTTGCTTGGCACAGCGAGTGGGAAGGAACCAGGTCTTACATGAGCTTCAGGGACGGATTCTGGCAACGTCTGAAGGGAGCTCTCTGCACCATGCAAGCTTAACTCCGGTCTGCCATGGTTGTTGCATACAGACTCCTCCTGACAGCAACATAAACTGTTACGACGACCTGTCTGCAGCCATCTCGTTCATGATGAGGTTGTACAGCGCTGCGAGGCACTGGTGCCTGGCGTCGCAAGACGGCTGTGCAGGCCGGGTTGAACCAGGGGCCGCTGCCCGTTCAACACCACGTAGGACTGCTCCGCAGTGCTGGCAGTTGACTGGGACTCCTTCAATGCATGTCTCTACCTCTAGGCCTTGCGAGGTGGTGTTACCAGAGAAGGCTCCAAGAAGGGCTCCTCCCCAACACAGTCGATGTAGCGGTAGTTACCACGGCATGCTTTGGACACAACATCCATGACCTGAGGGGCCACGTTCATCCATCCCTACACATGCAGCCTCGAATTCTAGGTAGTCTTTATGCTGGAGCCAGAACGGAAACTTAGAAGCCGACACTTTCCGGCATTGTTGCAGAGAAGAGCATGGTGCGGCGCCTCACATCTGTGCAACAGCAGGCCGTGCTTAATGCCTGCTCAGACCCGACTGAAGAGAAGCTGGGCACGTTGCTGTGTGGGAAGGTACGACACGATCTCCCGCACCTGATTGCCAGGAATCGCCCTTCTTTCAGCTACCCCACGCTCAGGCACGAACAGGTACACCAAGCGAAGAAACTGCCTATAATTAGCTACAGGGCCATGAACTCAACAGTATCAACGGCGACAGACATGGTGACAATACTTCTGACAAGTACGACCTCAAGATCGTGTTCAGGGCAGTCTCAGCGCGCCATTGAAAATGACTGACTCTGAATCTACAATCTATGTTCTTGACAACAACACTCAGCACATCGGAGGGAAATAGAAATTAGACAGGCAGTGAGTGTGAAAAGCGAATCGTTCCAATCATCTTGCTGGTAATCGTTGTGGCTGTAGCCATGGTGATTCTAGTGGAACTGGTGATGGTGATCGTATCACCAGGAAACCACGACCATCATCATCGTAATTAGATGCTGATGCTCATGCTGATGCTGATGTGATGATGCTTCTACCAACAGCCGTTGCTAGGGAGGAAGAGGCTGTTCTTCTTTTGGCATGCTCTAACAGCACCTGTACGATGATGGTCATGATGATGACGACGATGACGATGATGAGGATGATTCCAGTCATGATCACTATTTGTTAAGTTGTCATTGCTGTGAAAAGTTGTGTCAATATATTTCCATGCTGCAATTGCCGTACATAGCATTGCTAGTCTATCTACTTCCACGTTATACTACTGTACCACCTTGCTATCAATGCGATATGCAGTGTAACCTCCACCCGTGCTATCGTTCAAGCTTGTGTTATCATTTCACACATACACAGAGAGAGAGAGAGAGAGACCCCAAACCCGGAGGCCCAAATCTATGAAGCGTCGAACCCAACACTCACAAGCCTTCCGAAACCTTTAACCCTCAAGCCCCAACAAAAAAAAAACAATGGAAACAAAAAAGTATATAACTATAGTATACTGTATTGTGTTATGCTATATTATCTGATATTCTACTTTATTATAATATAGCAAAATATACTCAAACTATATTATATTATTATAGTTATTATAGTAGGTTATATTCTGGTCTGGTCTATTATCGAAACCCTGAAGCCTCAGGCCTCAGGCAGGAAGCCCAGGCTCAGGAGCCGGTCCGCCTCGTCCAAAACCTGGGCGCTGGCAGCTTCGTCAGACGCTCAAAGCGTCGGACATCATTGCGCATTGTAGAGTATATCATAGTATAG